TACCATTTCAGACAAGTGACTGTCTAGTCTCTTCTTAAAAACCTCCAGAGATGGAGCACCCATGATTTCTGAAGGCAAGCTGTTCCACTGGTTAATTGTCCTCACTGTTAGGAAGTTAATTCCAGGTTACTTCTCTCTTTGGTCAGTTTCCAACCATTGTTTCTTGTGTTGCCCTCTGGTGCTTTGGAGAATAGTTTGATGCCCTCTTCTTTGTAGCAGACCCTCAAATACTGGAACGCTGCTATCATGTCTCCTCTATTTCTTCTTTTCTTTAGACTAGCCAAACCCAAATCCTGCAGCCGTTCTTCATATGTTTTAGTCTCCAGGCCTTTGATCATTTTAGTTGCTCTTCTCTGAACATCTACCAAGGTCTCAACATCTTTTTTGTAGTAGGGTGACCAAAATTGGTTGCAACATTCCAGGTGTGATCTTATAGGGTTTTATAAAGCGGTACTAATACTTCGCGTGATCTTGATTCTATGCCTCTGTTTATACAACCCAGGATGGTATTAGCTTTTTTGGCGGCGGCGGCTGCACACTGCTGCAACCAATTTTGGTCACCATACTACAAAAAAGATGTTGAGACTTTGGAAAGAGTTCAGAGAAGAGCAACTAAAATGATCAAAGACTAAAACATATGAAGAATGGCTGAGGATTTAGGTTTGGCTAGTCTAAAGAAAAGAGGAAACAGGGGTGACATGATAGCAGTATTCCAGTATTTGAGGGGCTGCCCCAAAGAAGAGGGGGTCGAATTATTCTCCATAGCACCAGAGGGCAGGACAAGAAACAATGGTTGGAAAGTCAGGACCAAACATGTGCCCGAACACAAGTACACATAGAAGCAAAAAGGGCACTTGTGTTGTCTGACATCTGCTAGATTTGTCTGATTCATTAGCTAAGAAGGGGATGATCCGGTCAACACAATCCATTTTCCATGAGTCAGACTTAAGACTGTCTGATCTTTTGAATGTTATTTTTAATATTTTGGTTTAGCTATGATGTAGCATGGCTGGATATGCCTTTGTTCCCAGTTCAGGGGAAAATAACCGTACCCATGAATCAATTTTCTGAGAGTGAAAAACCACTGGATTCTTTAGAAGCCGAAGAAAGCAGAAATCCTGTGGGATTTTCTGCTTCCTGAGAAGGAGAACAAAAAAACACAGAGAATGCCGTTTCAATCTAGCTGATTGCAAAAGCGCATTTGCTTCTGATTTGTTGGTACATTTGTGTATATTTGTACAGAACAGATCTGGGGCTTGAAAACAACCAGCCAGCAGAGGGTATATTTGCAAATAAGACATGTCCCTGGAGGCAAAAGGCAATGAGACAAAATAAACTGATCTGCTGACATTTTCTGTTTCCGTGGACTAAAAGCACTTGTTCATTTAACTCAAGAGGAAACCCTTTTTCCAAGGTCCTGGAAATTGCTTTGCCCAGATTGGTGTAATCACCCATTTAATCCAATATCTTCCAGTCCTGCCACTGAGAACAGATCCCCAAGATTGATTGATTTCTGTCTGTCATTTCTGCACACAATATTCTCTCTCTTTCCCCATTGGTGTCATACAATCTTATTCAACAGTCCCAGTTAGTAACCAAGCGTTCTAAACTGCCTTTAAAAGCTGCTCCACATAGTATAATCTATAGCAGCTCTCCAGTTAAGAAGCTATTAGAACAAGTCTAATGATGGGTAGGAGATGGACTCATAAGCTTCACAGACCCCACCAGTATCTTCTTTGTAGCCTTCAGAGACCTTGAGAGTAATATGAGGCAGAAATGTATATATTTCTTTTTATTCTGGAAATGAATACTGGAATACTGCTATCATGTCACCCCTGTTTCTTCTTTTCTTTAGATTAGCCAAACACAAATCCTGCAGCTGTTCTTCATATGTTTTAGTTTCCAGACCTTTGATCATTCTTGTTGCTCTTCTCTGAACTCCTTCCAAAGTCTCAAGATCTTTTTTGTAGTATGATGACCAAAACTGGTTGCAGTATATACTACCTAACCATCTTATCCTCTGCCGTCCCCTTCTCCTTTTGCCTTCAATCTTTCCAAGTGTCAGGATCTTTTCCAAAGAGTCCTCTCTTTCTCATTTGGTGGCCAAAGTATTTGAGTTTCAGCTGCAGTCAACAACAAAATAGAAATAGAAATAGAGTGGCATCTTCCCAGCAGGATGATCCATCCTCAAAGCTATGTACCGTAGGAGAACAGCAGGCAGAGTGTGGGGTGGGGTGGGGGCGGAGTTAAACATATCATCAGCTTAGAGTCATTGCATTCCCACAAGTGCTCCAACTCTAACCCTCCTGAATTTTGTTGACCCTTATCTGGCGCCAATTTAGTGTTGCGTTAACCAGATACTTGCATATAGGCTGGAATAAATCTTCTATGCTGCAACCTCACCAGTGGTCCTGATTCTTTGCAGCTGACAAGCCACTCTTTTTTAAAAAAAAATTAAAAACAGACAGGCAAATGCCCCTAAATGTATGGTGGGGGAATATTAACAATTTGTTTTCTGGGATTATGTGAATACAGATTATTACATCAAAATCTGTAACATTTCCAATGGTATGATATGATACATGTTCTTTGTTGAGCCTTGCAGTAATGAATAAAAGAGAAAATTTCTGGATAGCTGATGATGTTCCTTGCTTGGTCTTATGTTGTTCGTCCATCGATTTCGATGAAGACCTTGACATCTTATGGATTATGGGCCATCAACGGTGTGTCCGTAGATGGCTGATGAGACCGATGTTAGCACGGAATGTTCTGCCACATACTGAACAGAGAAATGTGGACACTATTGCTTCAGCATTTGCAGCTCTGGCTTTACGGAGTGCTCGCTTCTCTTGTGCCAAG